CCTGCCTCCTCGGTGGACCCATACCCTTGGTGTTCCGTAATGCCTCTAGCAGGAAGCCGGCCTCCTCCTGGATCCGCTCCTCAATGCTCCGCTTTCCCATCCCGAAGTCCCGGAGAATAGTCAGGGAGAAGCGTCGGAGTATCCGCCATCGCTCCCCGTTGGCCATAGCTACACCTGTGGGATCTCAGTGTCAGGCTCCTGCCTCCCCTCTCCTGCCTGGGTCCAATGTTGTGTTGACAGGGGTGGGACAGGTTGTGAGAACTGCTTTCAGGGCGCCTTCCAGACTTGACGGGAGCCTAAAGTTCCCTTTTTACAGAATCCTCAAACAGTTCTAGACTCAGGTGGCAGAAACACGGTGAGGCTGGCAATGATTGGGTCAGTCAAAGAAGAGTTTTATATAGGACACAGACCTGCAACTGGACAAATGTCAGGACGGAGTATACAAGTTTGGAGCGAGGGCTACAGAAGTATAGATCCTGCAGGAGGAGGCTCTTTTATAGACCAGTGGGTGGTTCCCCAGCCATAGTCACCCTGGCCACGGGTCTCATCCGTGTACATCCTTGTACTCCACAAAGAGGTTGCCATGTTGTGTGAAACATTTAGAAATGACCAGAAGTACAAATTGATGTATTATTATTTTGACGTCTGGTAATTTTTTCTGGAATGATGAATGGAGGAAATTTCTGACTGCAGCACTGGATGGAAGGTTGGTGAGGGTTAGTGGATGGATGCCTGCAAATGGGTGTATAAATACTTGGAAGCATAGATGGAGAATAGAAAGATGGATAGGTGGAGAGATTAATGGATGGATGAATGATGGAAGGGTTCGTGAGTAGATGTATTGCTAAATGAAAAGGTATATAATAGATGTATTGATTGAATATAAAGATATTTGTCTAGCAAAGCTCATTAATGTTATTTTGCAGGGATGTATGCACCAATGGAGTATGTATTTGTGGAAGGAAAAGATAGGTGAAGGAATGTATAGAGAAAGATGAATGAATGCAACCATGAAAAGAATGGTGTGAAGCACGTGGAAATGAAAGATACGAGCGCTTAGGTTGGATGCATGGGTAACACTACAGAAAGATGCCTGCCTAACTGGTAGAAGCAGAGACCGATGGACTGGGTACGTGACTGTGCAAGAAAATAAGAAGTCATGTTAGCTACCAGAGCTTCGGTGGTGTACAAAGTGTATCACGAACCCATTAATGTAAGAACAGAGTGAAAACAGTGATGGGGGAAGCACATGGACTAGGGGTGCTTCAGTGGGGAGACGGCTAAGGTGACCACATTGGGAGTGGTGGGGGAGGAATTGGACACAGTCAAACAGTAGCAAGGAAGTAAAGCAATAGTACCTCAACAACAATAATAACAACAATAATAAATAAGAACCAAAGTGACATAAGTCCAATTGGGTTGAAAATAAAATGGTTACCACCTCCTGTGTGATATTCCCTAATCTTCCTCGCGCTCAGTTTGGTCCAATTAGCAAGACATCCATAGCACTTTAAATGAGTCAATGCCAAAATTCATGTCACGTGCTTATCCAAGGACCCAGGATATAGGCAGCACATCATTATCACTTTGCCTGTAATGTTGGGGCCTACCGTAACCGAGGAAGTTTCTGTCTATTGAAGCCAGTTCTCCGCGGCCACTGAAGTCGTCTGCTCGGTCTACCAGGGCCTCCTTCACTGCTTCGTGTCCACACAAAATAACGACGGGCCGGGGCCCCATGTACACTGTGAAGACTGGGCCATATTTCTCCTGGAGCTGGAAGTGAAGGAAGACATACAGGAGGGCGGAGGACTTTAGGGAGGGTCTCAGGGCAAAACAGGCCACTGTTGGGGCATCAAGTGAGTGGATGGTAATAGCAAAAGGTATTAGAGTGCTGCAGGATTCAATAAACGGGGGTTCACATGAGAGGATACAATATAAAAGGATGAGGATATAGTCTTTAAAAAGACTTCGTAGAACCTTTGTAAGGACAAGGTGTGTCCTGGTAGGAGAGCAAGAGACCTGGCCCTAGGCAGTAGCTCTTGGCTAAAGAGCTCCCTGGAGGAGCAGGGGCTTAAGTCTCAGCACTAGGAAGCTGTGTGTAGCCACTTCAGCCCCTGGTCAGGGAGCTGACCCACATGGCACAGCAGACCTCTCCTGCCTCCCTCTGCTCCCCTTAAGCTGTATATTTCAGTAGATCTGCCTGTTCTGCTCCCCACTCTGCCTCTGGTGAGTCCACTCACCCCTGCACCTCTGGCCTATCTGCCAGATCTTGTATGCATAAAGAAGAAAAGCAGTAGAGAGAATATGAGAAGGATAAATTCTACCTTGAACCATATCTAAAATAGGTACTTGGGAATGAAGAGAGAGAGAGAATGGGCCAAGAAGTTATCGTGTAGTCAAAATCTGTGGCTACGTGGCCTTGAAATATTTTTATGAAGTTGGATACACCTGAAATGCAATTAGGACCATTTGAGCTGCAAATGTATTACTTTAAATAAATATCTACTGTATTTTAGGGAAAATAAATTGCATGGGGTGGGGATTTCAAAGCAATACAAATATGGGAACCAACAAATAATGGTGGTTCTCTAGCTGGAAGGACTCTTGGCACCTGGGACTCTGGGTGAGACCCCTCCAGTCCCCCACAAGCTTTAGTTTCTTCATCTGCAAAATGATGGACCCGCGTGAGATCATCGTCAAGCTTTCGTCTCTCTACGAAAGGCTAAGCCTCAAGGCTGCTGAGCTTTCATGATACCAAGTCAAAGTTCTGAGACAACCAGCAAGCAAGAATGTGTGTGTTTGAGAAAAAAGGTGATGATGCTAAAGTCTGGGCAGGGGAGAGGCTTAAGCTCCCCCTGCTAGGAGCCTGAGTTCCAAGAGTTTAAGATTCTGCAGTTTCAGAATGCTGAGCTCCACTACATCTGTGCCTCAAGACTGTGTTTCAGACCGGGAACTGGATGTGTGCGTGAGTCAGTTGCTTCCAGCTCCCTGGGAGGCTTCGTCAGACTCACCTTCATGAACGACTGAAAGGTGGCTTCAGTACTGACTTGCAGCAGGTTCCCCAGGAAGGGTATCGGGGTGGGGCCAGGGGGCAGCTTTCCCCCTTTCTGGGTCCGTTTCCAGGCAATGAGGATGAACAGGCAGGACAAGCAGAGAGCCAGAAAGATGGTGAAGGCCCCTCCGAGCTCCATGACTGCAGGCAGAGAGTTGTGTGCGAGGCCTTGCCTAAATAGGCTCTGAGAAATCAGCTGGCCAAAATGAAACACCCTGGGATTCAAGTTTTCCGGGTACGGACACCATCAGGGAAGTGATTGCTTTTGTGGGGGGTGGTGGTTATATAACCTGTAATCTCCCACCTGGATAAAGGTGGATTAAATTCACTCAGGGAAATCCACTGGGGTCATTCCCCTTTCTTCATATTTCCAGCAGCTCAGCTCTTGTCTCCCAGGTTGAACCCTAGTTCAATGTGTCTTGTTAAGGTTGGGGGCAATTAACATCATTTTTAGGGGGTTACAGACGATCTGGGCTCATATTTCAGTTCCATCATTTCTTTCCTGGAGAAGTCACCTAACTCTCTTGGCCTCACTTTTCCCATCTGTCAAATACAGTAACCACATTGTTTTAGAAAGTTTTGATAGAGAACCGGATGATTCTGTCCTTGACAGCCTCTCATTAGGTCTATTAAAGTAAAGACAATAAGATGAAGATTCACAGTAGCTCAGGCAATGCCTGAAATACAAGGGCTTTTGCTAAAGTCTCTTGTTTCTACTTCAGGTGATATTCAATATTGATAATCAAAAACCAAAAAGTGGATTTTACTGGTTTACTAGGATCTTGCTGATGTGTGTGTGTGTGTGTGTGTGTGTGTGTGTGTGTGTCTACACGTGTGGGTAAATCCATTTTCAATTCTGAGGTGGGAGACCGCCTTTGAGCCTTACTCATGAGGGGGAAAGTCCTCACAGACCTATGGAGATCGCTCTTTCTGAATAAAAGAGATTGCAATCCCATTTGTTCCAAAGACTTGTCAATCTTCTTTTACTGTCCTGAAACAATTCTTGGGTATTGTATTATATCCCAGTTATGCATTTGATTAGAATCCAGTGTCCTTCTCATGTAGCCAGATTTTCCCACTTGGAAATTGAATCTCCTAGGGAATTGCAGGTTTTAGACTAAGATTTGGCAGGTTGTACGGCGATGTCTAGAAGTGATGGGAATTCTGGGGAAACTGAGCAGCTCACACTGCACCGCCTTCTGGATCTGGGATGTGCTGCTGTGACAGGAGCGGGTCCAGCTGCTCAGGGCTTTCAGCCAGTCTCTAGCCCCCAGACACGGGGCCAGCAGCATGGCAAGATGGCAGCCTGTGTCTGACAGCCAACTCCCAGACTGGGGCGCGGCATGGACTTACATGCAGGAGGAGTGAGGCGAGGGAGAGAGGAAAGGGCTCAGCAGGATTTCAGAGGAATAGGTGGGGGTTGCAGAACTATATACAAGTCTCTTTTCTTCCCAAGTTTGGTGTGAGGGGACCTGGCATGGGGCCTGGTGGGCGTGCTTCTAACTGTGGCAGTGAGGCTGTCTGTGGATAACCCTGGTCTTACTGCTGCCTTCCTCTTAGACTCATCTGGTTTTCCTTTTATTTGTCTGTAAGAAATAAAAAGGGACAAAGTGAGGACGAGCAGGACGAGGAGGAGCTGGGTTTCTGGACCACCCACCCTGCGAGGATGGCCGTCAGTTTCCCAGTTTTCTCCTGTCCCTTCCGTCCCAGTCCCTCCTCCCCTCCTCCTGCTTTCACTCTGACGTGTATTCAGGATGAGAGTCTTCACAGTCTGTGATGTGAGGGCAGCGGCTGTGAGTCTGACCGCCCCATTCAGCTAGGAAAGAAGAGGGAACGTCTCCTTAGCTCTGTCCCTGTCACCCTCCCCCACCCCCATGGAGAAAGCCAGGAGTCCAAGCACTTGAACTAAAGAAAAGCAAACTAAAGAGGAAAAATAATTGTATTTCAGGGAAAAGAGGAAAGGTAGATGATGCCAGGAATATTGTGATGGAGAGAGAGACCAAGAACCAGAGAAAGAGAAAAGAGACCTGCAGAGGAACAGAACCAGTGTGAGATCAAAATGGAAGTGTGGGCGGGAGGAGAGGGAGAAGGAGAGACAAGGTTTGAGAAGTACAGAAACAGATAGAGACACCAAGTACGAAGACACAGACACAAAAGGAAAGTCAAATAAACAGAGGGGGAAATACAATCAGAAAGAAAAGAAATAAGACTGAAAAAATTATTTCAGTGAGAGTATTTAGAGATTAACGGTTGGCCAAGGAAGACAACAGAGAACTCAGAGTTCCTTCATCTCTCTCCTCCTCCCTTCCTCGTCTCCCCTCATTTCCTCCCTGCTGTTCGTGCCATAACTCAGAGGAAGAAGTACAAATGGACAAAATATCAGAGATGGATTGGGAGACAGAGCACAAAAACAGAGAACAGACAGAGACAAACCAGGGCAAGTGAGATGGCAAGAATGTGGTCGGTGCCACAGGATGTGTCTGAAAAGGAAGCCGGATTGCTCTGTGCCAGGCACATGCCCCTCTCTGGGGCCAAATAATGCGATAATGCTGCCAGGGATGTGTTTGAGTTAGTTTTTTGTCATGTTGTGCCAGGCACTGAACCGTGTGCTTGACAGTAGGGTGTCTTCAAATTAGAACAGCCTTCTTCCAAAGCAGGACATGTGGCGAGAGTTGACTGAGCTCACCTATAGTCTGGTGGCGATTTACAGGAATTCTGTGAATCCGTATAAACTACTGGGCTATGCCTACTCGAGGAAAAAGCATTCAGATGTTTTATACACAAACTCAGGTGACTATTTCAGACACCAGGATGCCCCTGTACTCACAGTGATAAAGTCTGTCCACACACATGACTGTCCAGAATAAAGACCACATTTCCGGCTCCTGGGCAGCTGGGTGTGGCTGTTCGCACAAGTTCTGCCCAGTGAGATGTGAGCAGAAGTGATGTTGCTATTTCGACCTTACAGGGAGCAGGTGGGTTTTCCTCCAGAAGATTCCCCCTCTCCTGCTGGCTGGAGTGGATGCAGGGATGGAGGGCGGCCACTTAGGGAGGAAGAATTAGGGGAGAAAGGGAGATCTTTGACTCTTCTGGTCTGGTCTGTCCTCATGAGCCATTAAGTGAAACAGTGTTAAACTTTTATGTTGTTTCAGCCCATTAAGCTGTTTTAGGGGCCTTTGTTACAGTAGTCAGTCTATAGCCCAGAACACAGCTTCTTCAGAAAAAGAATGCTCGGGAATCGGTGAGTAGGTACGGTTGGCTCAGCTCCAGACCCTGCCTACTTTCTTGGGTTGTGTGTGATACACCACCCTGCATTTCTTTGAGAATTGCTTCAGTGCTGAGTTTATTTACTGAAAATGGGAGTGTGATCTCTTGCCTTTGTTGGAAAAATAGCTATCCTTTGTTTTAACTAGTATGTTAGTTACACAACTGTGTATTAATTATCTGCAACTGCCTAACAAAGCGCCTGAAAATTTACTGACTTCAAGCAAGAATGACTTGTACTTTCCAACAGTTTCTGTGTGTCAGTGTAATTTAATGCCCCCGTCTCACGAACCCCCAGGGTAAGTCGCTGTCATAGCCCCACCCCACTTTTCAGTGTCTCCTCTCACTCTCAGACCCCAGGTGGGGTCCAGTCTAGAGCCATACCATATCCTAGCTTAAAGAGGGCTTAGCGATACCTTTAGCTCAGTTTCTCAAAAGGTATGAAATTGCATAATTGTGAAACAGGGGTGGAGAGGGCCACAAAGGGCAGTAGAGGAGGACGGAAGGATGGAGCGGCCACCACCTGCCGAGGCTTGAGGCCAGAGAGCCACCAACAGCCCCCAAAGGCCAAAAGGCCAAAGCCCAAACCACGGGCTATTGCGCTACAGCACCCACGCTGGTGGACTACAGCCTAGCGAGGACAGTGCCCAGTAAGAGGACAGGTCAGCGTCTTTGGTTCTCAGCTGCGCACAGCTGCAGGACACCTCAGGCTCCAGGAACAACCATGGGGTTATCTACAAACAGGGGAAACTAGAAGCTCGCGGCACCCACACTGGCGTCTCTCACCCAGCTAGTGTCAGTGATGGTGGCCACTGGCCACGGCGAGTGCTGGGCAGCACTGGCCTGTGTGATGGCCACGTCTGGTCCCACAGAGGCCATGCAGAGACCCCCCAGTGTGCCCAGCTCTCTGTGAGGTGTTGGTGACACCACCAACAGACTGATGCCTGAGGCACCAGGCCCAGGGCCTTTGGGGTCCTTTCAGGTGACGTCAGACACAGGACCCGACGTCTGTGACAGAGCCCTGCAGCCTCTCTCCCTCCTCGGAGGCCGGCTGCTGGATGATGCTTCTCTTTCTTCAGAACTCGGAACAGCATCTGCCCCTTCTTTCTTCTGGAGCTGGCGTCCTCTCTTCTGGGGGTCCCTTCTCCTTCCTATTCTTTCTTTGGGGTCTCCCCTTCTTCTCTTCTGCTGGAGGCCCTCCCCTAGCGCCAGGCGACCCTGGCTTTTATCCTATTTTCACCCAGAAACTGATTGGACCACTTAGCACCAATCAGCTCGTAGCTCGCACCTGATTGGTCCATTTCAAAATTGAGCAGTTACCACCTGGAGCAAGGGCCGCAAGGGACCCTGGGAGCAGCAGCTTGAAGGAACCTCTCTGTTCCTGCCTGCATCCCGTCGCGCTGTGGCGGCTGGACCTGCTAACAGCTGGACTCGAGCAGCTGAGCAGACTCGCCGTTGCCAGGTACTGCGAGATGTTGGGGAGCAGCTATAGCCGTGTGTTAGATACGGTCATGGGTGTTATAAAGCTGCGCCAAGCTGCCGCGACATGACTTAGCTGCAGCCGGGCTCTGGAGCCCACTTTGTGGCTGACCGGGGATACTGGTGAGATGTGGCCCCCGGGAGCGGCAGTAGCACTCTGTCAGGGTGCCGCCCCCCAGCACCTCAGCCGGCAGCAGCAAGCAGTCCAGCCCAGCCTTGCCCTGCAGAAGCCGCGCTCTGCGGGGGGGGGGGGGGCAGGGGGGGTTCTAGAAGGGCCTGAGGCGGAGCCTGCCGGGGACGGGCTGGCGCAGGGCCCGACGGGAGCTGTCCCAGGACTGTGCGTGGCTGTGCGACAGTCGCTGCGATCAGTAGACACATTTAAAATTGCATGCGGTAGTCCACACTCAAGGCCCG